AATATGCAAATACATTTTTTCTTGTTCAGAGACTGCATGAGAGATTTCCCAGTCCTTGCCAAATATCACACATCCACATAAAGGGAGCAGCAACTCTTCTGTGAAGGGGGGGGGGGAATTCGGCTTCTCTCTGCCATTTAAAGGCTGCAGCAGGGAGAATCCCAACTTTTTTCCTCTCCCTCCATTCACAGAGGAGCTACAGCTCCCTTTATGCTCCTCCTGGCCTCCTCCCTCCCGGGGAACCCACCTGAAAGGGACAGGCAGGCTGCCACAGCTTCGCTGAGAAGACATTTCTCAGAGAGAAACTTCTCCGGTCCGGCTGCACCCGAGCAGGTGGAGCGCCTGTGCAACCGGAGCAACCACGTGGCTCACCTGCATTGGCTGTCTCCCTGGCGACGAGTGGGCAGTTGCGGGCGCTCCACAAGCTCGGGTGCAGTGGACCGAAGAAGTTTGCGTGGCACTGGCAGGCAGATTCTAGGACACCTGCCCGCCGGTAAGGGACCTCCCCGGACAGTGCTTTTCTGAGCATGGGGACACGGACGGCACAAACTACTGTGTGTCTCCCCGTGCCCAGAAAAGCGATTCCGTTTAAGTCCTTTGCTGGCAGACAGATTCTAGGATGCCTGCCTGCCTGCCAGTAACAGACCTCCATGCACAGCGCTTTTCTGAGCACGGGGAGACGGACGGCGCAAACTACTGTGTGTCTCCCCGTGCTCAGAAAAGTGATTCCATTTAAGTCCTTTGCTGGCAGGCAGGTTGCCCGCCACTCGTCTCCCTGGCGATGAGTGGGCAGTTGCGGGCGCTCCACCAGCTCGGGTGCAGTGGACCGAAGAAGTTTGCGTGGCACTGGCAGGCAAATTCTAGGACACCTGCCCGCCAGTAAGGGACCTCCCTGGACAGCGCTTTTCTAAGCACGGGGAGACGGACGGTGCAAACTACTGTGTGTCTCCCTGTGCTCAGAAAAGCAATTCCATTTAATTCCTTTGCTGGCAGGCAGGTTCTAGGATGCCTGCCCGCCAGTAAGGGACCTCCACACACAGCGCTTTTCTGAGCACGGGGAGACGGACGGGTTAGGCGTTCCGGAACTTAATTCCGAGTCCACCGGTGGAACCTCCTCTCACCGGATCGGTAAATTTCACCATTCGGTTCTCCCAATCCGGTGCTAACTGGCAGAAACCCACCACTGATCCAAATCATATGCAGATGGCCACCTGTGCCCAGCTATGTGAAGAGTACTGTATCTTCAGTATAAATAAATTACTATCACTTTTTAAATGTCCAGTGATCAGTCTACCCAATAAATTCTAAAAAGTGTTTATGATGTAATTTCTATTTAATATTATGAGAGGTTTTTTTACCATTGAGATCAGAAACTTCTTCCTATTGCACATGCATGTCGTGCATTTTCGCATTTGGTATTCTGAAAATTAAACAGCATATCAACCATCAAGCTGCCTTTAAAATGAAAGCATGAAACATAGAGGCAAAAACGTTCTAATTTCCCAGAGGGGGGGGGAAGTAGTAAACTTCCTTTGACCGTATCTTGAGGCCTTAGTTTTTTTTTTTTTTCCCCTTTAAGACAGTGAAAGGAGGCATTTCAGAGACAAGAATTGAAAAGCGAATTGTGATAACAGGTGATGCAGACATTGACCATGATCAGGTATGATGTGTAAGCTTCTAAAATTAGCTCCAAATTAGTCTATTTTCTGTAAACTTAAAAGTCTGTTTTAGTGCCAGCAGGTCTTTAAAATATATTACAATTCAGTTCAAATGTAAAATGTCTGTTTTGAATCACATTTCTTCATTTGGAAATTGTAAATTTAATCATGAATCTCTCTTCACCTTGCTACTGATCATGCATGTTCCACCCCCTTTTCCTTTCTGCCCTTCTGTGGTTTCCTTATGCTAGGCGCTGGCTCAGGCAATTAAAGAGGCCAAAGAGCAGCACCCTGACATGTCAGTGACCAAAGTAGTGGTACATAAAGAGACAGAAATCACACCAGAAGATGGGGAGGATTGATACAGGTAAGAGGAATAGATTTTTTCCAGGCACTCATAGACTGGCATGTGACAAAGATCATTCCTTCTCCTTGAACCCATCATTAATCGTTTCTATTTATTCTTTCTGGCATTTTGTACTCTCTCTTGTACAAAAAAAAAAGAGAATGATTTGGCTATTTAGGTTAACTTTATGGAATAGAACATTTTTTGATTGTGTTAATGCCAGTTAGAGAAATAGGAGGAACCCATTTGCTTGTGTCTGCTTGCTGGTTGCTATGCATATTCCATGAAATAGCTCTGTAAATTGACAGTCCTGAAGATTGCTTATGCAAAGTTTGTGGGCAAAGAAAGCATTTTCTCTAATTGTAAAATACTGTTCTGCCTGAGAAAGCTTGCAAGTATGTTGAACTGAAATACCAGTATTTTAAGTTTTGACTGTAAAGTTGTTTGTGAATAACCTTTTTTAAACTGTTCATTTTTCTACGTTTCCTAATAAGTTCTGGCAATTTTTATGATTGTTTCTTAAAAGGAGACAATAACATGCAATTTTTTGCTGCTGTGATTGAATAAAAGCATGCCGACAAATTCTTGCTAAATTAGCATTGGAGTGTTAAATGCAGCTACTATATGCATGTGCTAGAATATGTTTGGCATACTAACCTGCTATTGCAAGATTTAGTGATACTTGTACTCTCTACAAAAGCTGAATTGTGTGTAAAAAAGAAGAGATGGCTTTTATTTTGTTTGAACTGCTTGTATAATCTTAATTTCAAAGACGTTTTCCTTATGTCCATATAAATTATGTGTTATTACATTAAATATTAGCATTTTCAAAAATCAGTTGCTGTTGCTTTAGCAATATGTGAGGAAGTTGAAAATAAGAGACGGAACAAAGAAAGATAAGTCTTGGAGGAATTATTTATAGAAGAACATTTGGGAATTACAAATACTCTATTTATTGTATTTTTCGGAGTATAAGACACACACACACACACACACACACACACACACACCAAAAAAAGAGGGTGAAAGTTTGGGTGTATCTTATATACCGAATGTAGCCCTGCCCAGCCACCAGCCTTTGGCCTCTGCCTCCCAGCAATTTACCTCCTTGCAGCAAACGGGAAAAATGGAGCTTGCGGAGGCAGCAATAGGCTATGGCAATCCTGCAGCCTGAAACC